ACCCACCCCCGAACGGGACGGAACTGAAGCAGAAGGAGGTCCTTAAAGAGACAGATGCCAATTTCAAGGCGTTTAGAGGAGGAAGTGATGAGAAGATTAGTTGTTATTAAAATGCTGTTTTTGTGTTTAAATAGAAAATAAACTTAAGGTGATATATACTTCATTATGGCATTGTATTTAAATGTATGCTTGAGAAACGCATAATATTGGCCCTTGAACAAAATTTCTGTAATTTATTTATCTATCAACACAATTTAAAATTAGATGTACAGCCTGAAGTCTGTAATTTTGACACAATTTGGAACAGATTTTTTTGAAGAGCAAATCGTTCCCACTAGATTGGTCATGTGACTAGGACATAAGGGTGTCCAGGGACTCCAGGTGATTAATCGTCAAATTAATCGTTATCAGGTAAATATCATAATTAATCGTGATTAATTTTTTTGCTAATATTGCCCAACCCTAGACCTAATAGAGTGCTGTGTGAATGGGTAAATGAGGACATTGATTGTAGTGTGAAGCACTTTGAGTGTCCTAGATGGACAGAAAAGTGCTATCTGTTCTCAGTGTGATTTCAACGTCAAATGGAAATCCTGTTTCAATGGACCAGTGCTGTCTCGGAGCGTGACAATTTATTTGCTACTTTATGAAATGTTTGTCACAGGGTCCATGTTGATGCCTAGTTTTCCTGGGATTTGTTTTGGGATCACATTGAAAAATACAAAAGAAAATGTCTAAAACAAAAAGGACTTGATTTTTTTTAACAAACAATGTGTCTTCGGAAAGGTTGTCTTACGCTTGGAAATATTAGTGCTGATCAGATTCCAATGCAGCAACAGACAATTTTCCAGGAGGAGCTTTGTCTGTTACCCTTCTTTCTTAGTTTGATGTTGAATGAGTGCTCCGTAAAAAAAAAAACAATTTTAAACAGTTTTACAACATTAATTACTTTGGACATTAACCTGGGTCTTGGCCCTAATCTATGCATTTTAGAATACTAGACATTTTAGAATACTTTATTTTCAGAACGTTTTGGTTAAATGGCCATTATAAAAAATAACTTTTTTACATGCCCTTTGGATGAAAGCAGGAGACACATGGACAAGTCTCCAGTCCATCACAAAGATGCAGACAAAAAGACAACTATCCACACTCCCAGTCACACCTAGAGTCACACAGAAGAGCTCCAAAAGGTTTTCAAACTGAGAAATCTGGACTCAGATCATCTGCTGCACACAGTTCTAATCACTCATCATCAATAACAATTTTCTATGATAAATTATTATTGATAATTATCATGAGGAGTCCTCAACTTTAGGATGTAGTTAGGCAATTAAATATTCATGTATGTGTGAATTTATTACCATAATTGAAGGTGATTCGCGTAAATTTAAGTTTTTATAAAACAAGTAGCCCCCAGCCCCCAAGACCAATTTCCTAGGGGAAACACTGAAATGAATTTTATTTTGATTGTAGCAGGGTCATCAGGAAGTGTAGATTACCCCTTTACAATATTAAATCATTGTTTTCATTTTAAAATAAGCTCAAGTAGTCACTGCAGAACCTGGCATTTTTTTTTATCTGATTAATAAAACAATTGTTAGCTGCAGCCCTAATCTGGATACCTTTTAAACAATTTCATCCAGCCCTACACTGGATGAATATCTACAACTAATTACCTTTTTGAGTCAACTCAACTCAAGATGGCAGCCAAAATAAAATGTCGGTAAGTCAGTCAGTTTTTCAAATACTGAGCTAAACTCTAGAGTGGTAGTAGCTGAGAGTCAACCCCAACACATACTCTGAGCAACAAGCGATCACATGTTTGTTTAAAACTATGGCATGAAAGGTAGGGATGATAGAGACAGATGAGGTAGAGATACGTTAATCCCAGAGAGAAATTCAAGGCGTCCAGTAGCAGATCTATGTTGCACAAGATTAGTAAAAGATTTTAAAAACATTTTAAAAAAACCAAGAAGAAAACATGAACCAACTCTGAGTGTGAGTGAGAAATGAAGAGTGCAGTCAGCAGTTTTACACCAGATCCACAAACAGACCAGATGTGCTGACAGTAAAATCAGTACAAGTATGCAGGTGTAACACTGAACACTTCCTTAAAGAAATACTGGRTTCATTAAGAACTAAACTCACCTGAAAAAGGGGTTCTTCAAGTCCAGAAGGTTACTGGACTTTGATCCTGTCTGGTCCACCTGGGCAACTATACTGATGTCGTAGCTTTGTCTGTGAGAAATCACAAGAATAATATTTTATCATTTAGTAGCAGGACCAGGACCAGATTCTGCTCATGTTTGAAAATTTTAACTCTCAGATGCTCTCCTGGGAGAAAAAACAGCCTCACATTTACTTTTGTTTGTGCTTTTATTTATTTATTGGCRCTGCTACTAAACATAATGGTTCCTGACAAATATTAAAAATAATTAGAATTTGAGGGGGTTGAGGAGTGTTAACCCATTGAAATCCATTGTAAATGCGTTTTTTGACTGTGGCCGACTCATGCAGACTCAACCAAACACAAGTCCTCGTTGGCAGGTTGTTAGGGCTGCTGTAGTCTGATTTTTATCTGGTTTAATAAAAGTAAAAAAACAAAAAACACAAAAACCGGTTTTGTGCACAAGCAAAATTAAAAGTTTTATGACTGGAGACTCTCAAAAAACTCCAGATGGGGTTCACCCCCACAAAAAAAATGTTTAAATAAATCTATTGGCCGACCCAAGGAGAAACACTCACGCACACTTTCTATAGTCTCATTCAAAGACAGCTCACTTCCTGTTTCCATCAAAGTGTAACTTGTAAAGTCAGTGTTTGAGTGAAGCAGGAAATAAAGATGGTACCTCTTGTTGGCCACCAGCAGTGCAGTGCCAGATAGAGTGTCCCCAGCCTTGGCAAAGAGGGGAGACTGCAGCAGACAGCGGACCTGGTACCAGTGGGTCAGTGGCTCTGTGGGTGCTGTGGACAGCCATACGGTCATCCTGCATGGAGGGAAGAGACACGAGTCACTCATCTGTCTTCAGTTCAACCCTGTCGCCTTTCTATCAGCTGACTTACACTGATCCCATAAACGCCACGTCAAACCAGAAGGCCAGGCCGTGCACCAGGCCTGAGTGCATCATGTGGAACTTAAAAGGAATCTCTATCCTACAAGCAGAAACAAACACACATTAACGAGAATACGCCACCACACGTGCAAAATTACAACGGTACACACACACCTGTAGAGATCTTCCTCTTTGGCCTCTAAGAAGTTCACTGTGTATTTGACTGATTTGGCCATCAGGATACGGATATCAAACGTGTCCTGCAGGAGAAAACACAGAACCAGCACAAACTTTTACACAACAAAGAGCTTTATAATACACAAAAGTGAAACAGAAACACAATGACTTCATTAGCTGCGCTGTGTTGTGTTAAAACGTAATGAAGGCCAATTGAAATAGTGAAAGTACCACAATCGGCTGGCGGAAATACTCGTCCACTGCAGCCCCCCGCAGGGCAGAGAGGTCCACACCATGGAAGGAGGGCTGATACCTGAGAGCAAACAGACACAGGCAGGTTTAGATCAGTGTTGCCCTGAGTGGATGTTTATTTTCAGGTGATGGAGGAGGAAGACCTGGCATTTCTGTGGTTACCCAGGGAGAAGAGTTATTCTTTAAATTTGTCAGGAAAAGAGCGTTGCTGTTTAAAACGGACAGTAACCGTGCTTTCATCCAATTTTAATGAGCATTTTGAGCGACTTTTAAAATGTCGCCAAAAAAAATGTGCATCAAATGTTGAAGTTACACATGGTAGTAGTAAACAGGAAGTAAAGTCACAAACTCACAGGGACTACACATCTCAGGACAATGGAGAGAAGTAATCAGGAACGCGTTGCTACTACCGTATTTATTCGTGTATTATACGATCTCATGTATAATACGACCCCCCTTTTTTGAGCTTAAAAACCATAAAAAATTTAATCCTCAAACTACCTCCAATTTCATACAGACAAAGATTTTTCAGCCTTTGCAGTCTTTATACATATCAGTAAAATAATCACTGGACAGTTC